TCACAAGGTGCAAGGGGGCACTCTGCCGCGCTAGAGTAAATCCAAAAATCCCCGCATGGGTTGGGTTTTAAATTGTAGTAAATTGTCTTCTATGTAAAACGGAGCGACCACAGATTACACAAACTTGTCCACGCTTCGGAGAACACATGATTCCAGTTCATCCATACTAATTGACAAAACCGATAATTGTGTTCCAATATCCAAAGCGTGTTAGATAAAAATCAATCAAGTAGCAGGGAGCGCACAATCACAACGAAGTAAGACGAGTCGGCTATTTGCAACTGCAAGTCTTTCAGCATCCGTTAACCGTTTTGAAATGTCTCAGTAAGAGCAAGTGCAGGATGGTCGGCAGGCTTTGTCGTATATCTGGTGTATAGTACTATATGGCACATTATTATGATTACTAATAATATAAAATGAAGGTACTATAAAATGAATTTATTCAGCTACTTCAATATGCCCATGTGTCATATCTATTGACTACCAGGATATTTTTTACGGTGTCATAACTTTTGACTCCCAGGATATTTATTTTCGGTGACATAATAAAAAGGCTAGCTTTTCATAGATCTATCGATTCATACTAATTACATTGTTGTCGGAGCTGGGTGTGTTTTGCCCATTGTCCTTTGCTATAGAATACACAAAATATAGCAACTGCTTCCTATGCAACTTCGTTTGACGACCTCCATGGCCGAGTAGTATATACGGCGGGTTTCATGGCGTCGTTTTCTCACAGGGCCAGGATTTGAATCCCGGTGGGGCAAATGAAAAAATATGATAAATACGTGCATTTGTACCTTAGTCATGGATGTTTATGTATATTTCTAGATAAAATATACTGATATATGTATCAGTATATGTATTCTACCGTTACCCTTGCATCCCATAACACAAGCCTTACAGTGCTTGCTTTGGGGCTAGGTTAATTGGTGCGAGTGTAGAAAATATCTTTAAAATATATATGCAAGGACATTTTGTATGTTTTTTATTCTTTCGATTAATAGTTTCAATACAAATTGATTGACTTCCCAACTACTATAATCGGTTCAGCCGCTTTGATTCAAATTTTTGTTTTCATTTATTCATCCGCCATTTTGTAAAATGTCCGCACTCTTTAATTTCAGTGAATGAAATTTATGTTTCCTCGGATGAAACCATATAAATGATTAATTATATGGTCCCTAGTATCAACTAGGAAAAGCGGTTCCATTTCTGCTTAAAGTGCAGTTTCATTTTGCTAAGCCCTATCTGACTATCGAGACAGCATCCGAACCTGCACCTTCCGCTATCTGGGCGGACCCACTAAGAGCCTGCGTTGCGTTACGCGGGAGCACGGAGCGGGCGTCTACTCTGCGTGTTTGTTTCATGTCATTTCATAGAGCAGCGCTCCGTGACCCGCTTAACAAAGCGCAGGCTCTAAATTTATAAAACTATTATAGCTGTTTGATAACAATATTATAAATAAGGAAAAATAAACATGGACGAAAAAAGAGAGGAGTTCGAGGGCCCAGGTGATTAGCGCATTCGTTCTGCGATCGTGGAAGTTAAGCAACTTTCACAAAGGCCGGTCATTGGATGGTTGACCAAAAACTTAATATCTCGAGCCCCTCCGTGTTTCGGTAGAGTACGTTAAGCCGTTGATCCCGGCTGCATCTGCAATCGTTAGCATCCACCAATCAGCACGGAGCCCGCGTGGAGGATCATGGCCCAATCCCCCTATTCCATATATAGGGAAGGCTTGTGCCCCAGCAGTGAGGACTTTTTATTAATAGGCTGATGATGATAATGATGATGATATAATGAAAAACTAAAATGAAAAATTAAGTCTACTGATAATATAATAGGACAGAAATATTATAAACTTGAAATAGTTTGTATGTTTGCATGTTTGTTACACGCAAAAACTGCTGAACGAATTTGGATAAAATTTTGTACGCATATAGTTTATGACCTGGAATGAGGCACAGGATACTTTTATTTAACTTTCTATCAGGTTGTTTAACAATAAATGTAAAGTTTTCTGAGGAATTCTCAAAAAACTAAAGTTAATGAGGACAAAGTCGCGGGCGGCCGCTAGTAGTAGAGAAATATAAATCCACCATAGCATTTTAATCTGTATTTGTCAAAAAATATCTAGGTTTAAAATTGCTCGATGGCGCAGTGGCAAATGTATTTCTTTCTAAAACAAAATGTAGTTCTGCATGCTTCAGAAGGCACGTTAAGCCGTTTTGTCCCGGCCACATCTGCTGTCTTTACCACCAATTGGCACTGGGTCATGGCCCAACTTTTTCCATTCCATCCAAAGGGAAGGCTTGTGCTGAATTGCGGGGAAAATAAGTTGGTGATGTGATGGTATCTACATTGAGGTATAGCCCGACCGGAAAAAAACGCGCCATATTGCGGAATACAATTTTAAGCAGTTGTTCATTCAAAAATGCGGTGGCGGCCCCAGGCTACACTTTTCTGGTCAAGCTTTATGGTTGCACATAACTAGTCTGATTTTTAATTCGACGGAATTCTGACAGCAGTCATTTCTGACACTTCAGATATCATAAACCTTTTTCGTGTTGTCCTTTTCATGAGTAATTTTTAGACAAAATTACACTTTCTGCCTAAGTTCAAAAATGTATTTTCTGTATTTGAATTATGTAAATTCATCAAATAAAAACTATTTTAATGCTATGAACTGAGTACAAGTTTAACGTTGGAATTCCTCAGGAACATTAAACTGATGACTATAAAATTGATTTACCACCATTGGAGTCCTCCAAAATTAAAATTGTACCAAGATGTGACGTCATGCGACATTTCAAATCAATATACCTCTGTTTAACATAATCAGAACATTATGTGAATACAGAAAATATACATGTACACACGGACCTATTAGGTCTGTGCATGTCCAATACTTTTTGATAACTTACCTGATTTTCTTTGTCTTGAAGAAAAATAACAGTGCTGTCTAGGGACGCCCGAAAGAAGCGAAGCTGGTGAAGGTAAAAACACGTGGTTGAATGGTGGTATAATATATGTTTACTAACGTCAAAGTAGGCAGGCTGGTTTTACCTATGTTATATATGATATTTTAATAACCAAACCATACATTTTGCCAGACACTTCATAAATGTGAATGAAGTTTTGACTCTGGATTAAACTAGACTTTAAATTTTATTCATATTCCCTATACAACCAAAAAGGAGGAAATTTTATTCTATTTATGTTTCTTGGAGATTCAAATTCAAGATTATAGATAAATATTTGTTTATTTTAATATTGTTGTATTTGTATATTTCCATATTTGTTAATCTTATTTTAAATACACTTTTGATTAAATTAAATTGGAATAAGAATTATTTTTAATTCTTAGTGATTTGTTTTAATAGTTGGTTTTTATTTTTACTGAAAAAGTTTTTTTTACTTTCCAAAGGTAGCGTGACTTTACTACCAGAGGCTATTTTTTTACGGCCAATTACCACTTCATATAGCTTTATGTTGTTAGTACAGTAAAAAATCATATTGCAGATACACGAACAGTAGAATCAAATTTGTATTCTGCCCAAGTGTTACGAAAGAGCAAGCTTTTCACCTTTACGAGTAGGTATATACAATATTAAGTTTTCTTTTACTTTGGTCACTATTATGTATTCTGTGCTTTTGTTCACATTGAAAGGGATTGGCACCAAAAAAGTTATGTACATTCATAAAGACGCTGAGTGTATGATTTTCATTAAAATATAAAAATTTAAAACCATGGAATTATTTCAAAAAGCAGAGGTTTTCAACTCGCCCCTACGTACTCAGTCAACTTTTCAATTTTCAGTAATATTTTTTCTTTTTATAAATCACAGTAACATAAGATTTATAAAAAGAAGAAAATGAATATGTTAATTGTTATGGTTTTAAGCATTTAACTGCTTTAAGTTGAAATCTAAAGAAAAGTTTTACTAGAAAAAACCACGCGGATCAGGCAGCGGCCGGGACTCGAACCCGCACCCTTCGCAATCCAATGCACTGACCGATTATGTTACCACGGCCCTGATGGCCGCGTCGAAATTTTCCTAGCCTTAAGCTGCAAGGCAGCGCCATCTCTTTGCATTGTGGGTGACCCACAATGTCAAGTGCTTTTTCAAGTATTAAAAATTTGAAAGAAGACGTAGCAATTATAGTTATGATTTTATTTTTTTAAGTATTTAACTGCTAGGTGTTGAAATCTAAAGAAAAGTTTTACTAGATAAATATCTTTATTATCAAAAAAAAAACAACTTCATAAGAAATTTAATGAGGAAAAGACGTAGCACACCGGACACGGCATCTTTTCGTTTTAAGAGGTTTTGTATTTACAAAGACATTTGAATAGTGATGTAAAATAAAAAAAAAACTTTGATTTTTTCACCATGTTGAAAAAACATGAAATAAAAGGTTAGGACCCTTGGTTTTTCTCAAGAAAACAATCTTCGATAAATAAATGTTTTAATAAGTTACGCATTTCATACATATTGATTTAAAAAAAAAACATTCTTCAAATACGCTCTGTTAACTGCGTTCATACTTCAAATAAACATAAACAATAATGAGTGTGAATCCTCATGTTTGTAATTCTTTATTTTTTTTACTAAGGCCCATATTACAGAATTAATATAGCGACATCCCTTTCTAACTGCTCTCAAGTAAAGATCAACACTTAATTGTCATTATGTAATACGAGCCTGATTGCTGTAAATGGTATTATGCCGTGGTAATTAGAAATAAATAAATAAACCGAACGACGCAGCGACGGTAATTTTCAATCATAAAAGTGTGGTAGGTTTTAAAATAAACAGAAAACTTTAATATAAACTTATAAGCATTAATCTCTATCAGAAACATCCTTAATAATTTTTAATTCTGTTTTTAAAAACAACATGTTTTTTTCATCGTTTTTATTCACGATAGAAAAAAAACAGTTTTTTGCATCTGTACTTGTAATTACGATATTTGTTATTACATTAACTTCGCTATTAAGGAAATTTAACAAAAAAGGTAGAAAAGAAAAATAAATTAATGCCCCTCATCGATGGTCATGACGTTAGTGTTGGGCTCATAGAGGGGGTCCAGAGCCCGCGAGCGCACGATCTCCTTGTACACGAAAGCTGACTTGCGCGGTGTGCGCGTACGATTCGCACTCGTGAAATCCACTTCATATAGGCCAAAACGTTCACTGCGAAAGGAAAAGTTTTTATTCGATACTATGACCTAAATCCAATATATCATTCAGGGAATGCGAGCACTACAAGTTGGTAGTACAGTAATATAGATATCAACGGACAGTGTAAACACACTGATACTGTTGAAGCCGAAGAACGTGCTAATACTCACCATATTTGGAATAAGTATATCAACCGATATATGCTATTGTAAAAAAATATTGTTAATATTTCAAGTAAATAGATTTGCTGAGAAGTAGTTTGCGAATAAGTAATAATAATTTGGAGTTGCGTCTGGATCTGCGCCACTGGCCATAAGGCATAGAGTCGATGGCACGTCGTCGTCGTTGGCATAAGTGTTTGCTTCATGCGTCGCTTCTTCTTCTTCTTCAAATTAAGATAAGAACATAAACCTCAGATTACTATGGCCGGTACGTTTTTAAGAAAATGTTTTCAGGGAGAAATTAGAATCCATACTGATATTATAATTGTGAAATGGTGTCGTCTGTCTGTTTGTTTGTCTGTTACCCCTTCACACCTAAACCACTGAATCAATTTAGATGAAATTTGGTATAGAAGTTGATTGTGTCCCGGGAAAGGATAAAGAAATATTTTTTGTAACAGAAATCATCTTTTAAGGGGGTGAAAAGGAGGTAGAAAGTTTAAAAAAAACACTTTCCACGCAGCCGTACTCTACTAGTAGGGTAGGGTACTAGTCGTAACTAAACTACAAAATAATATATTTAGGTAACAGTTGTGTTGGTACTTACGTGTATCCTTCTAACCATTCGAAATTATCCATGAGACTCCACGCAGTATAGCCCGCAACATTGCATCCTTCTTCAATTGCATCCAACATAGCATTAAGATATTCTCTATAGTAAGAGATTCGCTCATCGTCTTCCAATCCACCCAATGTAGAAAATCCATTTTCGGTGATGATCACCACAGGGTTGTCATATGTGTCCCTAATATAGTTCAGGAGTTTATGGAAACCCCATGGCACTTGCTTAAAATTTAAAATGTTTCGTTATGAAATGATAAAATTTGTGCATAATTTGGAGATAATTCAATTCAAATACCTTTAACCAAGATGAAGCTGAAGTGGGCCAGGAGCTAGGTTGATACGAGGACACATCAGAATCTTCGTTGTTTGCTAAAGTTACGTTACTGCGATAAACTATAGAACTTGTATAATGGTTTAGTCCAAAGAAATCTGCTGATCCCCGCACCATATCCAGCTCTTCTGGAGTGAATTCAATTAATCTGGATCTGTAGTATCCTTGTGCTGCACTCTTAACTGCCACTTTTTCTTTCATTATTTGGGGAAAATCACCTTCTTTCGTGTATATAGGATGGGCGTATTGCCCAATCTGAAACAAATAACATTGTCCTTATAGAAATAATAATTTGATAGCTGTAAAAAATTATATATAAATTGCTTACACCAAAAAGCAAAGCTTCATTTGAAGCTTCTACATGTTCTTCAGATTCTGGTTCAGCCCAACCTGCACTAATCGCCATACCAACGACACCACCGTGTTTAGGCTTGAACTCATCGTTGTATATATGATATGCTTTAGCGTGCGCTACAAGGAGATTTTTAGCACACATATAATCTGCTAGTCCTTTAAAATTTAGCTGTGGAGCTTTTCCCATACCGCCATACCCTGCATTGCAAATTTCATGAGGTTCATTCATTGTCATCCAATACTTGACCCTATCTCCGAATAGTTCGAATGCGACTCGAGCATAATCAGCAAACCAATCAACAACATGAGGATTTGTCCATCCACCCATTTCTTGGAGTTTTTGGGGTAAGTCCCAATGGTAGAGTGTAACCATTGGTTCAATATTGTATTTTAGCATTGCATTTATCAAATTGTTATAGTACTGCACTCCTGCATCGTTAATCACATCGGGGAAACTAGTAGGCAATATCCGAGACCAAGAAAGGGAAAACCTGTAATGATCTAGACCCAGCTCTCGCATCATCTCGACGTCCCTCGTGTGCCGATTGTACGAGTCGGCAGCGACGTCACCGTTGGAACAATCTTTGATTCTGCACGGAATACTGTGAGTCAAGCGGTCCCAAATATTTTCAGACTTTCCTGGAAATTAGGATGTTTACCAAATCATTCGATCAACATAATCTACAAAAGAAAAAATAATTTTACTGACATTCGTCAGCATTAATCGTCAAAATTAAACGACCAATTCAGGTCGTTTAATTTTCAGTGCACATAATATCTATATATACAATAATTTGATGTAAAATTGAAAAGGCACATTGTTAGTTAGCTTGAGAGCAGCCTTATAATAAGTAATTAATGGTTTCATACCATCAGCATCCCAAGCACCCTCGATTTGATAAGATGCTGTTGCAGCGCCAAACATGAAGCCGTCTGGGAAGTTTCTTATGCTCTGTTTCACGCCATTCAGTATATTAGCCTTAGCATTTGAAACCGCGAAAAATGAGGCGGCTAAAATTAGGACCCTAAAATCACAAGTAAGCATTATCAATAGTAAATTATAAATAGTACTTACCGTTAAATAAATATTTCGAGGCTATATAGAAATTTAAAATGTAGAAAGTATTTTATTTTAACTTACCATCTCAGCGTATGTGACATCGTTTACTTCGGTAAGCAGGTGCTATCAACTGATGGCACTAATAAACCAGTCAATATAATATTTTATAGAAACATCTAAATTTTATCTTGACGTTTTTCAAAAGGTGCTTGGTCTGCTTATCATATTATGATATGATTTTATGCAGAATAAAAAAATGCCGGCACTGTTTGTAGCGTCCGAGACAATTTTTCTACATAATATAAGATCTGAGTGTAAGATAAACAAGATCACGATACGCGTGTGATATGAGGAATGACTGAATATCGTTTACAGAGTTATTAATGCCACTATAATAAACAAGTGCAAACAAATGATGCGCGTATAGTTATTGCATTTAAACATTACAATGTCATTGAGATTATCCTGCTATGTGACATAAATCAAGTAATTATTTTCAAATATTATAAAAAACAGATACCGCCTTAAATGCCCTTACGCTTATAACCAGTTAAATTATTATTTTATATTATAACTAAATAAAATTAACAATGAAGAAATAGTTCAATGTGACATGCAATAGCGTACAAACATTTAAGTTTCCTCGAAGTTGATTCAGCTTGCGCTATTTTATCATGAAAAATAATAACGTATAAAGCATTAAATTCTTATATAATAATGATACATAGATGAATATTCAGTTTTTTTTCCATTTACTCATTTGTAATTAAATAAGTTAGCACATTGAATTCACAAAACAAACACTATTATAACATTGTCACATAAATTATTTGATCTCATTCTTTATTATATTTTTGTTATTTTATATGAAAAACACTATTCATTTAAATACTTTTTTGAAGTTATACTTCTTTAGGCGCGTTATGAAAAAATGATGAGAGTGAAATTTTAGATGCGCGCGCATCACTGTAACACAAAATTTTAACAGCATGAAGTTGGTCGCTTTAGCGACCAACTTCATGCTGTTACTTTTGTGTTTACCGCACATTAAGAAAATCTAACAACAAAATAGAAATAGAATCTCTATTTAGTGGGTGCTAACGACTGCATTGTGAAGGCCTATCAAAAGTATTTATTAATCTGGAACAACGGAACCAAAGCGCCATTCAGGAGACTACAGCGCCATCTCTTGACCATTGGTGTAGTAGAACCAAAAACCACATCTTTATTTTTTGTAATAAAGTAACAGTTATAGGTATTCATATTTATAATATTTATCCACATGTTTCTAGTTTGTATATTCGGAATACGTGTTTGAGTTTCATACAAGCGCAAATCACATATGTTCTAATAAATTATATTGAGTAGCGATTTTAATTGAATATTTTGATTATTTATTTATTTTTTCAAATTAAAACTGAACTTTATTGACTGTGTCCTTTTCCAGACTTTTTATTAATTTATTGTAATTAATTATTTGCATGCAATTAAAAACTAATTTTAAACGATGCCAAAGAAGGATAACTTCTCACGCGCCTACATAAGTACACGCACCCATTTTTTTTAATAATAAGGACCCGTATTATTATAAATAAATACAACAAATTCCGCCGAAGTTCCACCAACGCACAGTGGGTCGAAAGAGTAATGTGAGGGACATAGAGTTTTTTTTGACAAATCGTATTTTTTTGGATGCCGCTCGATAGTCCTTTAGACACTCATAAAGACATGTTATATAACATTTTAAAATGTAAAATTTTTCACCGAACCTAATAGTTTGGCCATAAAAAATATTTGTGTTTTTTTTGTATGAAACAAGACCTAAAGTACTATATCTCCCAGGAACTGCTTGACCATGCCGTATAATGACTTAGGTTGGCATAAGTGCACATTGTACTAACATCCTAATGTATTATTAGCTGCTCCAAACAGCAATTTTGCCTGTTAAACAGTTCGGAAAAAATATATTTGACTAATCCTATTATGGGATTATAATTACAATTCTAAGAAAAAGTGTCGATTAGGGTACTAGGAACTTATTACGTAGTTAGTGTACATTGTTCTGTACTATCAGAATCATTTAAAACCTTTTTTTGTTATCATCGGATGACTTTAAAGCAATAATGATGTCAGGTCATTAGAATATTAATTTTGCGTATATAGAGATAATGGTATGGAGTTTCATGTGCTCCTGTTAAAAAGCATCGATTAGGGTACCAGCAACTAATTACGTAGTTAGTTTACATTAGTCTGTATTAACAGAATCTTTTAAAACCCTTTTTTCTTAGAACCGGATGACTATAAAATAAAAATGATGTCAGGTAATTAGGTTATTATGCGAATAACAGCGATGGTTTGGGGTAAGAAAACAGAGAATAGTGGTTCCATAAAATATTAATATAATATCTACAAAATAATACACATTTACAAATATTTGTTTAATAGTAATTAAAATATAAAATATGTGAAAAAATCTTTAATAATTTAGGTACAATGCTAGCTTGATGGCGCAGAAGTAGGCAGCGGAGAGGGAGCGGGAGGAGGACGCTCTAGCCCCCCCTCTCCGGCGTAGACGGGTGGGCCGAAGGAGGCAGGCAGCGGTGACTGCCGGTCTTCGACGGCCCTAAGGTGGTCTGGGCGCGGCCTGACCAGCCGCGCGTCCTAGGTGCCGCTCCGGCATAGGCCACCACGTCTGGGGACTGCCTAGTACCCTAGCGCAGTCCCCCTGAGGAGCGTCGCCCGGTCCATTCGTTGGGCCGGGCCTGCCCGGGGGCGTCCCAGTGAAGTGGCGCACGCTAAGGTGCGTCGATCCTGAGACGCCCCCATATGGGCGTAGGAGGGTACCGGGGGGTTTTAGTGGAGTAGGATCAGTGTGGCCTTCCGCACTGGTCCTGCTTGAGTAGGGTCGGCACTGTTTCCCGTGCCGGCGAGTCCCACACACGCTGTGCGCCTAGTCAGCGTCACGGTATGGTGCGTAACTGCATTTCCCCTCGTCACAAAAAAAAAGGTACAATGCTAGCTTAAAATATAAAAAAAAAACTTATATAAACTTATAACAAAAACTAATATTTAACAATATGCACAAAAAATACAAAGCTTAAATTCTTCAGCACCAATGATAATATTAGAGCTTAAAAAAAATGGTTCGATATTCTGTTTGTTATACTTAAATAAAACATAATAAATAAAACACATTTTACGTTTTTTTTATAACGAAAGAAGCTAAAAAAACATCAAATGAAACTACCTAACTTATTCACTATCGCTAAAGTTATCCTGTAGTGAGTCTATGTCAATAAATCCCATTTGATTTGGTTTGGTAGGGAGAAGCATCAGAAGTTCAATGGTTTGAGAAGGAAGAGGCTTACTTGCTAGCACTGGATCTGAGGACAAAAGAAGATTGTGCAAAATATCTTCATTTGTCGCTAAACGGCATATTTTCCGAGAACGGTCCCTTCTGAAATTTCTAATATATTTATTACGAGCTTCTGATGCTTCTTCCGAGAGTTTACCAATAGGAATCATACCAAAATGCTAAATTATATCGCTAACATGCTAATATGTCAACAAAATTATGTCTTCTTTTGATGGGTTTCTAATTTAGCTAGTTTTATATTGTGATATGATGGATACAATTCCGTTCCTTGTTCACTGGCAGATTTTCTCAAGCTAATAAATAAATAAATAAATATTTCCAACACTCACACCAATTAGCCTAGCCCTAAAGTAAGCACCGTAAGGCTTGTATTATGGGATACTAGGGTAACGGATAGAATACATATATTGTACATAAATAAGTATATTTATATAGAAATAAATATTAAACATCCATGACTGGAGTACAAATGCTCGTATTCATCATACAAAAAACTTCTGCCCACACCGGGATTCGAACCCGGGACCTCTCGAGTCGGCGACACCATGAAACCATGAAAACACCATGTATTAACCACTCGGCCACGGAGGAGGCAAAGGGAAAGGCAGGTTGATAATCAAAGATAAAAAAAATATGGGTGCGTGTACTTAAGTACGCGCGTGAGAAGTTATACTTCTTTTTGGAATTATTAAAAAATAGTTTTTAATTGCATGCAGATAATTAATTACAATAAGATAATAAAAGGATTGGAAAAGGATAGTCAACGCAGTCAATAAAGTTCAGTTTTAATTTGAAAAATTTAATAAATAATCAAAATATTCAATTTAAATCACTACTGAATAAAATTTATTAGCACATATAAATTTCGCATTTGTATAACATTATAACACGTGTTAAGAATATAGAAACTAGAAACATGTGGATAAATATTATAAATATGAAAACAGTGATCAGAGGCGACGAGCGTCCCAACATGTGCGACTAAGAGATCCTATTACTATTTTGTTGGAAGCTTTTTTTCGAGACTTACGAGTAATGTGCGGTTTAGCGGCCGACTTCATGGTGTTACTTTTCTGTTACAGTGTTGCGCGCGCATCTTAAAATTTCACTCTCATAATTTTTTCATAACGCGGCTAAAGAAGTATAACTTCAATAAAACAACAGAATTATTTGAATAAATAGACGAACTTTGTTTAATGTCCCTCGTCGATGGTCATGACTTTGGTGTTGGGCTCATAGATGGGGTCCAGAGCCCGCGAGCGCACGATCTCCTTGTATACGAAAGCTGACTTGCGCGGTGTGCGTGTACGATTCGCAGTCGTGAAATCCACTTCATACAGGCCAAAACGTACTCTGTGAAATGCAAAAAAATGATTCATTTCACCTAACTACAAGTGTGCATAGACATGTACAGCCTTAGGCAATGTAAGGAAATTAGGCAAGTATAATTAAACACTACCACTACTACTACATAAAAAACAAGCAAATTAATAGTTAAATTTTTGTATTAAGTTTATTAAATATGCTCCAAAACACCCCTTTGGTCCATTTTCTTAATCATTTTTCTCAAGCGTCTACGAAAGGAGAACTTTTATTCATGTTTTCCTAACTGGTTAAGAAAAAAAAAACATTTTGTCCGTTTTCATAATTGGTTAAGAAAACCAGTTAGGAAAATGGCACTAGTGTCACACGCGACAATATATGTATCTTTATATATATAATTCTTCTGTGAGTGTGTATGTCACTGAACTTCTCTTAAACGACTGGACCGATTTTGATGAAATTTTCTGTGTGTGTTCAAGGGGATCTGAGAATGGTTTAGATTCACAATTTTGTCCGCTGGACAACCCCTATTTTTTTAGGGCGGTACGAAGTTCGCTGGGTCAGCTAGTATATATATATACCTAGTCAGGTCATAAATTCTGTCACATGTTTAATATAAAATAATTGAAACAAGTTTATTCATTATGTAACCATTTATATACCAAAATGAACTTAACAAAACATAGATTATTATGACAATAAAGTTTATTCAAAATGACCTCTGTGATTTTGAATACAGGCCTTCAATCTGCGCGGCCAGTCGTCTATCGCAGCACGAACGAGGTCCATGTCAATATCGGCGGCTGCCTTAATCAAGGATGTCTTGAGTGACTCCAAATTGGGATGAGGCTTTGAGCACGCCTTTTCCTCCTAGTGTTGCCATATTCTGTAATCTAACGGACTCAAATCTGGACTGGAGAAGGGCCAGTCTTCATGCCGAAGTCGATTTCACGCGCCGCCAGCCAGTCTTGTGATCTCTTCGCTCTATGAGCTGGCGCCGAATCTTGTTGGAATACCCAGTGCCTGTTATTGAACATGGTATGAGAAACAGGTTCCACAAGGTTCGTCAGGACTGTATTTTGATACACAACTGCATACGTTTTTACACCTTTCTCACAAAACTGCACCTCTGTTAAGCCCCAATAAGAAACTCCCAATCATACCATGAGCGAGGATGGAAAATGACCTCGTTGGACACGCGGAATACGGTTGCTCGCTTCTTCACTACTGTGTGAGTACACCTTATCATTTTGTTTGTTGTAGCTCTCTTCTGCGGTAAAAATTTTTTCATCCGATAAAAGAATTTCCCAATATTTTTTTCCCGCGTACCGCTTCAACAAAGCTCGGCATCTCTTCGGTCTCAGGTCCATTAGACGAGCATTCAAACGATGTCCTGTTTTTCTTCGATATGCCCGAAGCCCTAAGTCTTCATTTAACACCCTTTTCACCATGGTTCTGCTTAACCCTATCTGAAGGGCCAACAGTTTCTGCTTACGTTTGGGATTTCTTTGAATTCCCGCCTTCACAGCTTTTATCACTGCTGGAGTCCTAACAGACCAATGGCGACCACTTCTTGACCTGTCATCTACACTAGAGTCATCATTGTATCGTTTGATGGTACGATAAACAAATCTTTTGGTTATATTCAAATTTTTCAGTATGTCAAAAATTTGAATTGGCGCGTAACCGCAACGATACAACGCAATGACTGCAACACGGTCTTCTTTAAGCGTCCACTCCATATTTAAAAATGAGTAAAATTCTTAACAGTATACATTTTTATTTTCATGAACAATTCGATATTCGAATTCAATAAACTTTTTTGTTTTGTTGTAATTCAATAAAAAGAAAAGTTTTTACTGTGTGACAATACTTATGACCTGACTGTGTATATATGAGTGATGCGTGCGCTGCTCCTAATGCTAGTTTATTTAAGAAAAGAAGTTTCCCTTGGCACTTGTTGTCCGTGCACACAATTATTTATTTTCTTACCTGGTATTTAACTAAGTTTTTTAATTATTAATAAAAAAAAATGTTCTTTTTCTATTTTTGTGTCAAAATCTTAATGCGGTGCACAGAATACATCTACTTACCAAGTTTCAACAATTCAGTTAAGTCAACAATGAAGTTCTTATAGTTTCGGAAAAAAGTGGCTGTGACATACGGACGGATAGACAGACAGACATGACAAATCTATAAGGATTTCGTTTTTTGCCATTTGTCTACAGAAACATAAAAATAAAGTTTTAACAGAAATGCGAAAGAACTGCAGCTAAGGTGGAATGGTACTCACGTGTATCCTTCTAGCCATTCGAAATTGTCCATGAGGCTCCACGCAGTGTAGCCCGCCACATTACATCCTTCTTCAATCGCATCCAACATAGCATTAAGATATTCTCTGTAGAAAGAGATTCGATCATCGTCTTCTAATCCACTCAATGTAGAAAATCCATTCTCGGTGATGATCACCATAGGGTTGTCATAGTTGTGTTTTACGTAGGTGAGGAGTTTGTGAAGACCCCATGGTATTTGCTTAAAATAAATGTTTCACTGTCTGTTAATGATTTCTATTTTTCTGCGTTCCCTTCTTCTCTTTGCCTACTAATATAAATGTGGAAGTTTGTATGTTTGAGTGATTTTTGATTGTTACTAATTCAAGCGGGAAGGCTGAACTGATTGGATTTGGATAATTTTAGCGGAAACATATAGTTTATCAACTGAAACTTATATCCTGGAAAAGTATAAGTTATAGAAAGCTGGTTCAACATTTATGTCTTTGGCAGGATTGCTACATTGAATTGCCATATTGCATCGATGTGAATGTTTATCTTAACTAAAATACCCTTAGAGACATTTGATTTTTTTCCAAGTACGAAAGCACTAGCAAGTATTAAAGCCAAAACAATTCTATAATTTAGATGGTACTGTTATTATTAAATTTAACACACCTTTAACCACTCTGAAGCTGAACCGGGCCAGGAGTTGGGTTGATACGAGGTTACATCGGAATCTTGCTTTTCTTCTAAAGTAACATTACTACGATAACTTAAATATGTTGTATAATGGTTCAGGCCAATGAAATCCGATGATCCTCGAATCATATTGACCTCTTCTTCAGTAAATTCGACTAATCTCGACCTGTAATATCCCTGTGCTGCGCTTTTAGCAGATACTTTCTCTTTCATAATTTGGGGGAAATCGCCTTCCTTCGCGAATATTGGATGTGCGTACTGTCCAATCTAAAACAAATAACGACAAATCATTTTTGAGGAACACAATTCGAATGCATCGATTTTTTTTAAATTTATAACTGCTTACGCCGAAATGCATAGCTTCATTTGCGGCTTCGACCTGTTCTTCAGATTCTGGTTCATACCATTGTGCGCTCATTGACATACCAACGACGCCCCCATACTTAGGCTTGAACTCGTTGTTGTATATATGATATGTTTTAGCGTGCGCTACTAAAAGGTTTTTAGCACACATATAATCTGCTATTCCCTTTAAATTTAGCTGGGGGGCTTTAGTTGTACTTCCATAACCGGCGTTGCAAATTTGATAAGGTTCATTTATTGTTATCCAATATTTGACCCTATCTCCAAATTGTTCGAATACAACTCGAGCATAATCGGCAAACCAGTCAGTAACGTGAGGATTTGCCCATCCCCCCATTTCTTGAAGTTTTTGGGGTAATTCCCAATGGTAGAGGGTGACCATTGGTTTGATGTTATATTTAATCATTTCATTTATCAAATTGTTATAGTACTGTACCCCTGCTTCGTTTATCTTATCGGGAAAACCAGTAGGCAATATCGAGAACGGTCCCTTCTGAAATTTCTAATATATTTATTACGAGCTTCTGATGCTTCTTCCGAGAGTTTACCAATAGGAATCATACCAAAATGCTAAATTATATCGCTAACATGCTAATATGTCAACAAAATTATGTCTTCTTTTGATGGGTTTCTAATTTAGCTAGTTTTATATTGTGATATGATGGATACAATTCCGTTCCTTGTTCACTGGCAGATTTTCTCAAGCTAATAAATAAATAAATAAATATTTCCAACACTCACACCAATTAGCCTAGCCCTAAAGTAAGCACCGTAAGGCTTGTATTATGGGATACTAGGGTAACGGATAGAATACATATATTGTACATAAATAAGTATATTTATATAGAAATAAATATTAAACATCCATGACTGGAGTACAAATGCTCGTATTCATCATACAAAAAACTTCTGCCCACACCGGGATTCGAACCCGGGACCTCTCGAGTCGGCGACACCATGAAACCATGAAAACACCATGTATTAACCACTCGGCCACGGAGGAGGCAAAGGGAAAGGCAGGTTGATAATCAAAGATAAAAAAAATATGGGTGCGTGTACTTAAGTACGCGCGTGAGAAGTTATACTTCTTTTTGGAATTATTAAAAAATAGTTTTTAATTGCATGCAGATAATTAATTACAATAAGATAATAAAAGGATTGGAAAAGGATAGTCAACGCAGTCAATAAAGTTCAGTTTTAATTTGAAAAATTTAATAAATAATCAAAATATTCAATTTAAATCACTACTGAATAAAATTTATTAGCACATATAAATTTCGCATTTGTATAACATTATAACACGTGTTAAGAATATAGAAACTAGAAACATGTGGATAAATATTATAAATATGAAAACAGTGATCAGAGGCGACGAGCGTCCCAACATGTGCGACTAAGAGATCCTATTACTATTTTGTTGGAAGCTTTTTTTCGAGACTTACGAGTAATGTGCGGTTTAGCGGCCGACTTCATGGTGTTACTTTTCTGTTACAGTGTTGCGCGCGCATCTTAAAATTTCACTCTCATAATTTTTTCATAACGCGGCTAAAGAAGTATAACTTCAATAAAACAACAGAATTATTTGAATAAATAGACGAACTTTGTTTAATGTCCCTCGTCGATGGTCATGACTTTGGTGTTGGGCTCATAGATGGGGTCCAGAGCCCGCGAGCGCACGATCTCCTTGTATACGAAAGCTGACTTGCGCGGTGTGCGTGTACGATTCGCAGTCGTGAAATCCACTTCATACAGGCCAAAACGTACTCTGTGAAATGCAAAAAAATGATTCATTTCACCTAACTACAAGTGTGCATAGACATGTACAGCCTTAGGCAATGTAAGGAAATTAGGCAAGTATAATTAAACACTACCACTACTACTACATAAAAAACAAGCAAATTAATAGTTAAATTTTTGTATTAAGTTTATTAAATATGCTCCAAAACACCCCTTTGGTCCATTTTCTTAATCATTTTTCTCAAGCGTCTACGAAAGGAGAACTTTTATTCATGTTTTCCTAACTGGTTAAGAAAAAAAAAACATTTTGTCCGTTTTCATAATTGGTTAAGAAAACCAGTTAGGAAAATGGCACTAGTGTCACACGCGACAATATATGTATCTTTATATATATAATTCTTCTGTGAGTGTGTATGTCACTGAACTTCTCTTAAACGACTGGACCGATTTTGATGAAATTTTCTGTGTGTGTTCAAGGGGATCTGAGAATGGTTTAGATTCACAATTTTGTCCGCTGGACAACCCCTATTTTTTTAGGGCGGTACGAAGTTCGCTGGGTCAGCTAGTATATATATATACCTAGTCAGGTCATAAATTCTGTCACATGTTTAATATAAAATAATTGAAACAAGTTTATTCATTATGTAACCATTTATATACCAAAATGAACTTAACAAAACATAGATTATTATGACAATAAAGTTTATTCAAAATGACCTCTGTGATTTTGAATACAGGCCTTCAATCTGCGCGGCCAGTCGTCTATCGCAGCACGAACGAGGTCCATGTCAATATCGGCGGCTGCCTTAATCAAGGATGTCTTGAGTGACTCCAAATTGGGATGAGGCTTTGAGCACGCCTTTTCCTCCTAGTGTTGCCATATTCTGTAATCTAACGGACTCAAATCTGGACTGGAGAAGGGCCAGTCTTCATGCCGAAGTCGATTTCACGCGCCGCCAGCCAGTCTTGTGATCTCTTCGCTCTATGAGCTGGCGCCGAATCTTGTTGGAATACCCAGTGCCTGTTATTGAACATGGTATGAGAAACAGGTTCCACAAGGTTCGTCAGGACTGTATTTTGATACACAACTGCATACGTTTTTACACCTTTCTCACAAAACTGCACCTCTGTTAAGCCCCAATAAGAAACTCCCAATCATACCATGAGCGAGGATGGAAAATGACCTCGTTGGACACGCGGAATACGGTTGCTCGCTTCTTCACTACTGTGTGAGTACACCTTATCATTTTGTTTGTTGTAGCTCTCTTCTGCGGTAAAAATTTTTTCATCCGATAAAAGAATTTCCCAATATTTTTTTCCCGCGTACCGCTTCAACAAAGCTCGGCATCTCTTCGGTCTCAGGTCCATTAGACGAGCATTCAAACGATGTCCTGTTTTTCTTCGATATGCCCGAAGCCCTAAGTCTTCATTTAACACCCTTTTCACCATGGTTCTGCTTAACCCTATCTGAAGGGCCAACAGTTTCTGCTTACGTTTGGGATTTCTTTGAATTCCCGCCTTCACAGCTTTTATCACTGCTGGAGTCCTAACAGACCAATGGCGACCACTTCTTGACCTGTCATCTACACTAGAGTCATCATTGTATCGTTTGATGGTACGATAAACAAATCTTTTGGTTATATTCAAATTTTTCAGTATGTCAAAAATTTGAATTGGCGCGTAACCGCAACGATACAACGCAATGACTGCAACACGGTCTTCTTTAAGCGTCCACTCCATATTTAAAAATGAGTAAAATTCTTAACAGTATACATTTTTATTTTCATGAACAATTCGATATTCGAATTCAATAAACTTTTTTGTTTTGTTGTAATTCAATAAAAAGAAAAGTTTTTACTGTGTGACAATACTTATGACCTGACTGTGTATATATGAGTGATGCGTGCGCTGCTCCTAATGCTAGTTTATTTAAGAAAAGAAGTTTCCCTTGGCACTTGTTGTCCGTGCACACAATTATTTATTTTCTTACCTGGTATTTAACTAAGTTTTTTAATTATTAATAAAAAAAAATGTTCTTTTTCTATTTTTGTGTCAAAATCTTAATGCGGTGCACAGAATACATCTACTTACCAAGTTTCAACAATTCAGTTAAGTCAACAATGAAGTTCTTATAGTTTCGGAAAAAAGTGGCTGTGACATACGGACGGATAGACAGACAGACATGACAAATCTATAAGGATTTCGTTTTTTGCCATTTGTCTACAGAAACATAAAAATAAAGTTTTAACAGAAATGCGAAAGAACTGCAGCTAAGGTGGAATGGTACTCACGTGTATCCTTCTAGCCATTCGAAATTGTCCATGAGGCTCCACGCAGTGTAGCCCGCCACATTACATCCTTCTTCAATCGCATCCAACATAGCATTAAGATATTCTCTGTAGAAAGAGATTCGATCATCGTCTTCTAATCCACTCAATGTAGAAAATCCATTCTCGGTGATGATCACCATAGGGTTGTCATAGTTGTGTTTTACGTAGGTGAGGAGTTTGTGAAGACCCCATGGTATTTGCTTAAAATAAATGTTTCACTGTCTGTTAATGATTTCTATTTTTCTGCGTTCCCTTCTTCTCTTTGCCTACTAATATAAATGTGGAAGTTTGTATGTTTGAGTGATTTTTGATTGTTACTAATTCAAGCGGGAAGGCTGAACTGATTGGATTTGGATAATTTTAGCGGAAACATATAGTTTATCAACTGAAACTTATATCCTGGAAAAGTATAAGTTATAGAAAGCTGGTTCAACATTTATGTCTTTGGCAGGATTGCTACATTGAATTGCCATATTGCATCGATGTGAATGTTTATCTTAACTAAAATACCCTTAGAGACATTTGATTTTTTTCCAAGTACGAAAGCACTAGCAAGTATTAAAGCCAAAACAATTCTATAATTTAGATGGTACTGTTATTATTAAATTTAACACACCTTTAACCACTCTGAAGCTGAACCGGGCCAGGAGTTGGGTTGATACGAGGTTACATCGGAATCTTGCTTTTCTTCTAAAGTAACATTACTACGATAACTTAAATATGTTGTATAATGGTTCAGGCCAATGAAATCCGATGATCCTCGAATCATATTGACCTCTTCTTCAGTAAATTCGACTAATCTCGACCTGTAATATCCCTGTGCTGCGCTTTTAGCAGATACTTTCTCTTTCATAATTTGGGGGAAATCGCCTTCCTTCGCGAATATTGGATGTGCGTACTGTCCAATCTAAAACAAATAACGACAAATCATTTTTGAGGAACACAATTCGAATGCATCGATTTTTTTTAAATTTATAACTGCTTACGCCGAAATGCATAGCTTCATTTGCGGCTTCGACCTGTTCTTCAGATTCTGGTTCATACCATTGTGCGCTCATTGACATACCAACGACGCCCCCATACTTAGGCTTGAACTCGTTGTTGTATATATGATATGTTTTAGCGTGCGCTACTAAAAGGTTTTTAGCACACATATAATCTGCTATTCCCTTTAAATTTAGCTGGGGGGCTTTAGTTGTACTTCCATAACCGGCGTTGCAAATTTGATAAGGTTCATTTATTGTTATCCAATATTTGACCCTATCTCCAAATTGTTCGAATACAACTCGAGCATAATCGGCAAACCAGTCAGTAACGTGAGGATTTGCCCATCCCCCCATTTCTTGAAGTTTTTGGGGTAATTCCCAATGGTAGAGGGTGACCATTGGTTTGATGTTATATTTAATCATTTCATTTATCAAATTGTTATAGTACTGTACCCCTGCTTCGTTTATCTTATCGGGAAAACCAGTAGGCAATATCCGAGTCCAGGATAGAGAAAATCGGTAATGGTCCAGACCCAGTTCCCGAATCATCTCGACGTCTCTCTTAAACAAATTGTATGAGTTGGCAGCGATGTCACCATTAGAACAGTCTTTTACACTACACGGATTGTTATGAGTCAAGTGATCCCAAATAGTCTCCGTTTTTCCTAAAAAATAATTTTATATAAATATTTTAAATAACAATTAATAAAATAATGTTATTCTTTCAACATAACGCGTGCAGTACATATACCTATATATACTCTTTCGAATGTATAAATATAAAAAAATATAGATTTCATACCATCAGCATTCCAAGCTCCTTCAATTTGATAAGATGCCGTTGCAGCGCCAAACGAGAATCCATCTGGGAATTTTCTTATGCTTTGTTTCACTTCATTTATTATTTTGGTATTTGAAAGTCCGAAATATGTAACGGCTAAAAACAGCACGCTGGAACGAGACGATAGCACTTTAAGAAATCATAAATAGAACAGTTGAATAAATATTACGTAAGGGTACATTAATACTTTCACTTACCACTTTAGATTAAGTAACATCTCTCTTATGTAGTTAGTGTTCAACGCAATACTATTTGTTTTTAGAGAAATATCTGGGTTTTATCTTGACTGTTTTGAGTTGGTAGTCTTTCTTATCGCGTTTCGATATATATTTTAAGACAAAGTGTCTTAGAAAAAAAAATATTCCGCAGCTATGTTTTAACAAGCATCATTTTTATTTAGTCACTATGATTTATAAAATAGACATTATTTTTTATTTTTTTATTTAATATATTATATTAAATGTTATAAAAGCACCTTGAACTGTCATTACAAACTTTTAACAAAATTATAGTTTAAATTATTCTTGTTTCTTTTTTATATAATATTATATATTATGTAGAAATTACCATCACCTTTTGAATGGCAATATAAAAGTTAGATAACACACGTTACATGACTTTTAAGAAATATAATTATATTGCCAAAATAGAAGATTGTGTTATTTATGCATTCTGGCGTCCAAACATAAAACGAAGAATGCCTTTTAAAAATAATATCTCTAATAAATAAAATGTTTGTGTCACGGTGTGCGTAATTGAACTACTTCGAAATGGCTCGACCGAATTTCGTCAAATTTTATATGCATATTCAGTAGGTCTGAGATTCGGACAACATCTATTTTTCATCCCCCTAAATGTTAAGGGTTAATTAACCCTTAATATTTTTCTTTTTTGGATTTTTTTTATTTGTTTATAATTCATCATACAAAAATACAGTTATATAGTTATAGTTCAGGGTTGTACCCTAAACTTTTACCCTTCCACCACCAACTCCTATTTTTTATGGCGGTACGAAGTTTGCTGAGACAGCTATTATATTATTATATATAAAATTCTCGTGTCACTGTGTTTGTAACAAAAGTCCTCCGAAACGACTTACTCGATTCTTATGAAATTTTGTGATTGTGAGTATATTCAATAGGTCTGAGAATAGGACGTCAACTATTTTGCATACCCCTCTAAGTGGTAAGGATGGTCCACCCCACTTTTTTATGATTTCGTCAACTTTTTTATATAAAAAAAAATTCTATGATTTAGCATTAAAAATATATACAACCCTAAATTTTCATCCTTCTACCACCAACCCCTACATTTATTATTATGGCAGTACGAAGTTCGCTGGGCCAGCTGGTTATTATTACAAAAAAATATTTATTGAATAGTAAACATCCATTCAACTCTAACTTGTCCTTCATACTGTAAGAAAACTTAAGATTTCGTTCGAAGTTGTAAAACAAAGAATTAGTTTTGAGTATCTTTGAATTTTTTTTAATTCTCTTCATTCGATTCATTTGAGTAATGTTTTATTAACATAACTGAAATGGATCAAATGAATCGAATGAAGATGCATATGCGTAACCACTGTTCAAGCTTAGTTATAGGTACCTATTTCGTTTGTTAAAAAAGCGCCTTAAGTTAACAAGGAATAAGCTTAGACTAGTTACGCCGTGTTTTGTTCTTGTCACTCAAATGACATATGTCATTTAATAGACATAGACCAAAACATGGAGTAACTAATCCAAGCGTCGTCGTCTTCGTTTATTAATAAGGGTGAAGTAGTAAAGCCCAATAAGCTCGGCATTGCCTTATGCAGAAGAATCTAAATAAAATATATATAATCTTTATATATATAATTCTTCTGTGAGTGTGTATGTCACTGAACTTCTCTTAAACGACTGGACCGATTTTGATGAAATTTTTTGTGTGTGTTCAAGGGGATCTGATAATGGTTTAGATTCACAATTTTGTCCGTTGGACAATGTTTTTTTAATTAATTTTTTTTATGGCGGTACGAAGTTCGCTGGGTCAGCTAGTATCTATATATAAAACAAAAAGGTGACTGACTGACTGACATAGTGATCTATCAACGCACAGCCCAAATCACTGGACGGATCGGGCTGAAATTTGGCATGCAGGTAGATGTTATGACGTAGGCATCCGCTAAGAAAGGATTTTTAAGAATTCTACCCCCAAGGGGATAAAATAGGGAATGAAAGTTTGTATAAAACTTTGTCAATTTTAACCCGATCGGGCTGAGACTTTGCATGCAGGTATAAGAAAAATCATAGATGAATGTCATTGTGTATAATACAAGTCTGAGAACAAAAACTGTAGTCTACACTTTAGTTCTACACCGAAGCGAAGCGAGGGCGGGCCGCTAGTACAACATAAATACATAAAGGTGTTAGGTTAGTGCTGATATCCTCTAATTTCTTTTAAACCCGATTGCCACATATGTAGATTGATAGATAGATAGATATATAATTTATTCCCATCAGTACAGCACACAAATTCAAGTAAACAAATAGAACAATTAATTACTAGGTATGTAACTGTGTGCCGCAACGACAGAAAAAGGCAAAAACTCAGCGATACCTTTGCTCTAAGAGCAAAGCACTGGTTTTCAGTTCTGCCTAGAAAGTGCCTAACGCGAAACGACATCGACGCGACGTGATTAATTTATTTTTAAGAGAATTAAATTAAATTATATTATTATTAAATTAAAAAGATTATTAAATTGTTATTGTTAAATTATTATAATATAACTATATATATTATTATCATTCACTAAAAATTATTAATTATTACTGTTGTTATTACTTTTTTAGTATGTATTTAGATTAATATTGAATTTCTGAATTAATATTTATATAATATAATTATATACATCAGCATTTAACACACACAAATTGTGACACACCTATTAGAAAGCGGCAGAAACCGCTACCATACGACCACATGTGGTTATTCCTAACCTTTGCATTTCTAGTAATATTAATTTTAAATGTATTTAAATGTTTGGCGAGATATGATCCTCCTTAGTGGAGGTGGAATGTTGTTCCAGCACCTGGTCGCCTGATAGCGGAAACTACCCTTAAACGCCTGCGTTTTATGATTCTGAGTCGATAAAGGTGGCTTTGCCTGTCTTGGTTGCCTGTCAGCATCATAACGTAGTGCCGCAGTAGGGAATTTTAATTTCTCATATAAATAACTTGGTCTCTTGAATTTCATGATGTCAAACATTAAAACTGCTAGATGTAAACGCCTACGCGATTCCATATTCAACATCGAATCCCTATTTAAGAAAGGTGATATATGAGTACGTGGTGGGACATTGAAACAGAAACGACAGCAGGCATTTTGAATCCGCTGCAGTAACCTTCTACACCCACTTAACAGCCGGGGGCCGTACACAAGATCACCATAATTTAATCTTGAGAGTACAAGTGTTTCACAGAGGGTAATGCGAGCATTTTCTGACAGTAGGCCACGTATCTTATAGAGAACTTTTAAGCGATAAAAACAACTCTTCACTAGGCCTAATACGTGAGACTCAAAACGCAACTGGCTGTCAAAAACAACTCCAAGATTTCTGACCTCACTGACTCTCTCCACAACTTCGCCACAGACTCTGACACCAACAGCACTGCCTGAGACCCTATCTAATTGTTTACTCGTGCCGAGCACCATAAATTTGGATTTTCGTGGGTTGAGAACTAAAGCATTATCAGCAGACCAGGCAGCCAACGCATCCAAATCTATATTGAGCTCACAAATAGCATCGCTTATAGTGTTTGGCGTTTTGGACACGTATAACTGCACATCATCAGCGTAACAATGATACTTGCAGTGTCTAATAGCAGTTGGTAAGTCAGCAACATATTAAGAAAGAGTAAAGGCCCAAGTATAGACCCCTGAGGGACACCGCGTCTTACAAGCTCTAAACCCGAAGTCAAAAAAGACTCATCCTCTTTGCGGAGTCTTACCGCTTGTCGTCAGTCACTGAAATAACTATTGAACCATCTGACTGTTTCGGCGTCGCATCCATAAAATGATAGTTTCGATAATAGGAGGGGTATACTGAGACAATCAAATGCGCGAGAAAAGTCAAGTAGCGCTAGAAGCGTGACATTTCCCGTATCCTGTTCCACAAGTATGTTATCCGTAACATCCAACAACGCTGTTACTGTCCCACTGCCCTTACGAAACCCCGATTGAAGTTTTGGGAGAATGTTGTTCTCTTCCACATACCGAATAAGCTGACCATAAACGACCTTTTCTAAAATTTTTGACATGAAGGGCAATATATTTATAGGTCTGAGGTCTTTAAATTCACACGGTGACTTGACTTTTGGTACCGGTGTAACGAGTGAAGTCTTCCACTGAGAGGGAACAGTACAAGTAATTATAGATTTATTTATAATTTCAGTAATGACAGACAATGTGCGCGGCAAGGTTAACAATATCATTTCATTTTCACAGATAATATATATTTTGACACCTCAGTTTCATTTACAGTGTGGAGCTTAAAGGGTGGTGCTAAATGAAGGTGCCGATTGTATTCGTAAAATATCAGTCGCGAGATTGGCACTGTCTCAGGTTTAAGAAATACCTGTTTATTGTATCAGGGTCTACAAAACAATCCGGGAGGCAATCGTTCTTTCCATCACTAGGCAATATTTTTTGTTTTATATTTCTCCAAAATAGCTTAGGGTTATCTATGTTTGAATTAATATAATGGTTAAAGAAAGCACGTTTTTCATTTCTAATTCCAATAGTGACTGCATTTTTCATTTCCTTACAATGCTGCTTATGTGCATCTGATTTTGTCTTGCGATACCTCGAATGAGCTTTCTCTCGTATATCAGTCATTAACTTGATTGTGTCTGTTATCCAAGGCAGACTCTGTTTTGCTCGATCTTTAGTCCTAATATTTGGAGTGTGCTTGTTTAAAACCGTTAATAGTAAATTATTAAACCGATCAACCATACTCTCCACCGTTGGTAAACTAGATAAAGACTCCCAATCCATAGCATTAACTTCGGCATTGAGTTGATCAAGTTTTATACTTTTCAAAGGTCGGTAAGTGTAAAATTTTGGCGGGACCTTTAGCTTCCTTAACGTAAGGCTAACATTTATCATTTCATGTCCCAGGGTCCCAGTAATGTGTGTGTTCGAAATTTCCCTAATTTCACAATTAGTACAAATAAGATCAATAAGGGTATCAGAATTGAATGAGTGATGGGTCGGGTCCTGTACAATTTGTTTGAGATCGAGTCACTGCAAAAAATCGAGCACTTTCGATACACAACTACTT